GAGCCCGGGCCCCGCCCCTGCCAGGCAGAGGGGCAGAACCCAGAGAGGGTGCAGGAGGGGACCCCCTAGGGCTCCTTGCTCCGGAACAGCTTCAGCACCAGGAGTGCCGACCCCTGGGGCTCAGAGGACCTGCAAGACACCCACTCTGCGGGTGGGCGGGGCGTTACACACCACCAGGGGTTTCCAGGCCTGGTCCCCTGGCCTGGAACTGGGCTCAGAAGGAAACAGCAGCCTTTACTTCTGACCTCAGCAAACACAAGACCCCTCTCCTCCCGGAACATAGGCTCCCCCGGAGGCCGCCACCCCCCCCGGGGTCCCCCCGCCCCGTGAGTGGTGACCGGGGACGCAGTGAACTGACAGTGTTATAAAAAGTGGGATTACACAGTGCTGGCAGGGGTCGGGGGGCAGACACTGCCACAGGAGGAGTCTAAGTAGGAATCCTATTTTCTAAAAGAGCTTTGCGATCTGTAGTAAAAAGCTTTGCCCATGGCCCTCCTCTAAAGAAGACAGAGATGGGGAACCAGCAGTTAGCGTAATGGCTATGTCACTGGACTCCCACGTAGTCAACCGCGGTTCACGTCTCAGACCCGGTGGCTTAAAACTCACGCCGGGCGCGTGTGCGTGCGTGCCCAAGATCCCGAGAGGAGAATGGAGGAGAAGGGATTGCGGCGTGACCATCCCCCCTGGGGGGTGATTTCTTGCTTTCTGTCTCTCTGTCTCTCTCTGTCTTTCTGGTGAGTGCCCTATAGCAAAAACCTCTCCACAAAAAAACAAAGAAAAAGACATGGACAGTTCACAGAAAGACAAACGGCCATCCATAAAGAAAAGGCACTGACTCTTACAGTAAAAGAGGTGCAAAGATCTCCTAGAACACCAAAGGTGCTGACCGAGAAATAACCTGCACTTCACAAGAATGAAAACTTGTGCTCTGCAGGGTCAGCTCCGTGGTGCGGTCGTCACACCTGAAGAGAAGCAGGGGCCCGCATGGTGACCACGGTGTGACACCCTGGCCCGGTCAGCCTCAGACACATGGCGCATGGCATGAGCGCCCAGGGTCGGCTGGGCTGGGGGGCTGGAGGAGGGGCCTGCAGCACAGCCCCCGTGCAGGGTGCTCTCCTCTCTCGTCCTCATGTCCTCACGCGCGTGGTCTATTACAAATAAAGAAAACTCAAACAAAATACAACTCGACAAAAATAAGCTTCTGGTCTTTGAAAGACACCATGAAGAAAATGAAAAGGGAAGTCACAAACTAGGAGAGACTTCAATACTATATTTTATTTATTTATTTATTCATTTATTTATTTTTGGAGAGGTTTTTGTTATAGGGCGCGTGTGCTCACCAGAGAGAGAGAGAGACAGAGAGACAGAAAGTAAGAAATCACCCCCCAGGGGCGGTGGCCATGTTGCAATCCCTTTTCCTCCCTTCTTCTCTTGGGATCTTGAGCACGCACGCACACACACCTGGTGTGAGTTAAAGCCACCATGTGCGGGCCTCTAACCACAGTCAACTACAGCAACGTAGCTATTACACCATCTGCTGGTCCCTACTTTTTTTAAAGAGAGTCAGTGAGAAGGAAGTGCGAAATCACCCCCCAGGTGGCCAGGCCACAACCCCTTCTCCTCCATTCTCCTCCCAGGTATGCACACACACCCAGCATGAGTTTCAAGCCACCAGGTCTGGGATTTGTAACTGCTCCGCCATCAGCTGGCCCCCTCTATACTATTCTTTTAAAGGACTTATATTCAGAATTTATAAAGAACTCTTACTACTTAATAATAAAGAGACAATCTGATTGCTTTCAAATGGGCAAAAGATAGGAACAGACACTTTGCAAAAGAAGAAGTAACATACAGCATCCGGTAAGGCCCAGAGAGGGTGCTCAGTGTCCCCAGTGCCGGTGGGAGGAGGAATCAGAGGGAGCGCTACTACATCTCACCTCCTGCAGGGCCAAGGCGTGGCTGGCAATGCCAAAAGTGCAACCGAAATCCACACCCTGCTGCTAGTGCCGATGTGAGAACCACTTTGGAGCTGGGTCTACTGACTTACATAAAGTTAGACATTCACTTCTCGGGCAACCCAGACATGACGCTCCCATGTATTCCGAGGAAATGGAAAGACGGGTCCACAGAAAGGTTGCGCGAGAATGTTCACAGAGCTTCATTCGTCATCACAGACACGAACTAGAACTGTCCTGAAGGCCCGTCAGGGGGAGCAAATTGTGGTATGTCCATTCAGTGGGTTCTACTCAGCCAGCAAAGGAACGTTCTACGGACGGTCACGACGCGTACATCTCAGCACCTTTACCTTGGGCCGACCAAGTCCAACACGGGGAAGAGCAAGACGTAG